TCAAGAAAGCCCAAAAACGTCACAGAATATACGTGGAAGTCATAATTATGGGTTTTACAATTTCCTCTTCTTAAATGAGTAAGTTTCGGGCAGAACGAGAGCAATTTTGTCGTAATTTTTTGGATTTCCGGGTCTGCAGATTTCACCAAAATCAAAATTACTCAGAGTTGTAAGCAGTGGCCTAAGGAATGCTGTTGAGAAAGCAAGCATATGAATCAGCAATCAGCCGGGTACAACTAGACACCTGCTTCCGATATGAAAGGTAGAAATCGCAAGATATAGAGTGTGGACGCTGATTTGCATTAAAATCTCCCAGTAGTAATCTAATGAACAGCAAATAATACAGAAACGATAAATCATCATCGACAACACCCTTTCCCACTACTAATAGTGTGATTACCGTGATCACTTTCCAGCAAAATTGCAGACTTTGCAGACCTCATGACCGTCTATTACTTTACAATAGTTCGTTATCGCGATAACAGAGTATCATGTTCGTCATCAGCAGGGTCAAGCGTGAGGTGTGGCATGCCACACCTGGGGAATGGTATTGAGAGTCGGGGAGGAGGGGTGGGGGAGCGTTATCGAAGAGAGCTGATGTTAGCGATAACATAATATTCGTTAACAACGTCAGGAAGACACTGTGTAAAGTACTAGCACATTGATGTTTTGACATACCATCGTATACCTACAGTAAGCGTGATAAAGGAGCACTATAAGCACAAGAGCATCGTTTTCGTAACCAGGATGTCATATAACCCCCTGGTCAAGTTTTAGCAAATTTTGAGATTTTCAAATCGTGAATATTCATTTGCACTTAGTACAAAGAACTGCCACTTCTTTGCTCACATTAGGATTCCCACTATAACGAATAACATCCAAACTATGGAAGTGCGAGCAAGCCAAAATTTCATTTGTTTCATTTTCCGCTTTCAATATGTTAGATTAGAGAGGACCAATCAGAAGAACCACTTTTATGTAAATTACGATGACTAGTCAACAAATATGTTTATCCTTGTCGCATTCTTTCGCGATTTGCATAACAGCAAAATAGGCATGTTACCGTAATCCGACATTTTCGCAATATTATCCATTTGCAAAGGTAAGGAAAAACGACTATATCTCACTAAAAGACACGATTTCAAATGATTTCTTCATCATGTAAAGAAGAAGGTTGAGCACTAGCAACGATACAAAGAAGGCAGAGATTTGAATGGTTTGAAGGCAAGTTAATGGGATGTGGCACAACCACAACCCTGAAAAGCTGTGGCCGCCACAGCTTTTTAGGTGTTGTGCCACATTCCATTAACTTACCTTCAAAGAGAGTTTTAGGAAACAAATTAGGTACAGTTCGATAGCATGAATCTCGTAGTTTTTTTAAAAGTGATTGGAGCTGAATTCGTTGTCTTTCGCTTGAGCAATAGTTGCTAGATGCACAATCACTGCAAGCGAAAAATGGGACAAATGAGATTTTGGCTGGCTCTTAATTCCATGGTTTGATGGTTATTTGAATCATAATTTATGGCATAGGCTGATAGGGAGTAGGGTTTCGTATGAGAATAAGAAGAGGTAGCTAATTCGCTTTTGAAATATAGCTGGTTATGTTTGAAAATGGCCACTTCACTTGGGTGGCCCAATATTAGGAAATCCCAGAATTCGCTAAAGGGATTCTCTGACATGATGATCATAAATATTAGGTTGTCCCGAAAGTTTTGTCCGTTTTTTCAACCTATCATAAAAATATGTGGAATAAAGATAGGGAAACGCTTTAAGCACCATCCGACGCATCTTTTCCTTCTCTTTCTAACTGTCAAGCTTATATGCCGATTAATCTTTTGTTCACTGAGATAAGCGCCGAAATCTCAAACTTATGGTTTTTACTATGTCCAAGTTTGACAATTTTTCACAATCTTCATTTTCAACTTTTGGAAGACCTTTGATAGCCCTCAGATAGAGTAAGCAAAGGGCAATGCAATGCAATCATTTGACGTGTCTAGCTGGCTTTTCAATATTTTTAAAGATAATTTTTTCAAAAGTTTTCACTTTTGCGAAGTTCTAAAATACAGAAGTATAAATACTAATAAATCATCGGATTTTGAAGCTTTCAAAAACCGATTACAATTATCCACTATTTTATCCACTATTTTTACGAAGCAAATGAGCGTTCACCGCTTCAAAATATAAGATTTTGCATTTTACGTGTACACGCTGGGGTGGGGTCAAATTCAAGAATTATGAAGATTTTATCGCCAAAGACCCCGCAAATTGGAGAGAAAATACACTCACTAGAAAGAGGAGGAAAAACTGCATCGAATAACACCTTAGTTGTGCGCCGTTTTATGATCTCTGGCTTTTGGCATCACCAAAAGTGGAATTTGGTAGCATCAGTTTCAACAATGAGGGTGAGAAATCTATCGAATATATTCAAAAACTTTCCTAAATTCTTTCCTAAATTCTTTTTTGTATGTGCATCGTGTAGAAATAAATACAGAAAGCTAGAAGATAATTTTTGGTTCTAAAGACTTTTCTCGTCAGAATCTGAGTAATTGCAGAGTTGGCGCACACTGATTAAACAAACGTGTGTGGGCATGTTTATGTCATTTCGCAGAATTACTAAATAATATAGACTATGCTTGCCTGATCACCACATTGTCCGGCTTCTCGCTTATCACTTGGAAGATTGCCAACTCATTTATTATCAGGCAGGCACGTTTTGCGCACGAATCGCGGGTGTGGCGTTATCCATGAATAGGCCTTAACCATGCCCACACGCCATGAACATGACATCTAGTAAAGCCTCTGAGATCCTCGAAAATTAGTAAAAAGAGTGGGAAGGAAGTTATTAGGTTGGTAAGAAAGTTCTCGGACATTTTCAGAAAAGATCTGCTATTTCTCGAAACCTAACGCATGTACATCAGATAGAGGTACCATTCGATAGAGCAAAGCAAGCTCTACAAAATGGTATGCAAAAATTCGCACCAGCTTCGACTCACCGTAAGTTTGCACTCAAAATTTGAGTCCTACCGAAATTTGAAAAATCGCGAAAAATTCATATCTTTCTTCAAACAAATCCTATGGATCTCCAACTTGCTCATAAAAATTGCGGACCACAGCAGACACTCATATGCACCGTTCCTGTAATTTTTCCTCATCTGAAAATCGAAAAAACGAAGGTTTTCATGCTTGTATAAAAACGAAGCTTGCTGTTTCCACCGACGAAATTGAATAGTACAAGCCCTTAAAAGTAAAACAGTAAATTTTCAGCTTTCCGTAAGCCCTAGTTGTCGAAAAATATTGATTTTAGCATGGAACGCCCGAGTAAGGAGCGCTCAATTCGGTAAGTTTCGGGAACCGGGGCCTATAGAAAGCTGAAAATTTGCGGTTATACTTCTAAGGGCTTGTACTATTGAATTACATGAGTGAAAACAGCACAGCTTCGTTTTTATACAAGCATGAAAATTTTCGTTTTTTCGATTTCTAGATGAGGAAAAATCACAGGAACGGTGCATATGAGTGTCTAATGTGGTTGTGCAATTTTTACGAGCAAGTTGGAGATCCGCAGGATTTGTTTGAACAAAGATATGAATTTTTTGCGATTTTTTGGATTTCAGTACGACTCAGATTTTGGGTGCAAACTTACGGTGGGTCGAAGCTGATGCAAACTTTTGTATAGATACCATTTTGTAGAGCTTGCTTTGCTCTATCGAATGGTACCCCTATCTGATGTATATGGTTAGGTTTCGAGAAATAGCAGATCTTTTCTGAAAATGTCCGAAAACTTTCGTACCAACCTAATATTTGGTTCGGCAGTAACCCCCGACCTAACGGCAGGTTTCGCAGGCCGCCGGCACTTTGACTTGACGCCGCCGAAAATCAATATCTCAGATTTTCTAGGCCGCATCAAGCCTTTTGTCAGGTATTTTTGAAGAAAGATGCGGCGATTTGAAGAAGCATCCGTCGAGGTGTGAAGTTCTAAGATTTTCCCTATAAGAAAATATTGAGCAGCACAAGAGGAGATGCAGGCAACTGCAAGGTAGCAGCTGCCGGCCGGCAGGTCAGAGAGCACGAGAAATGATGTGGTCTTTTGAAAGAGCGAGGTGCGGCATCTCGACATGCCCTACTATGTCGAGGTGCTGGCACCTTGCTAGCATCATTTGTAAGTTTGGAATTACGGCATAACACATGATTTACTCCTTAGTCAGGAATACCGAAATTTCTAAATTCTTTCAGAAATGATTATTTATTTTTTCTATTATTATGGTTTTCTTTGTAATAAATACATATATGCATGGAAAATAAGTTTATTCCATCACTAAACATTAGTGAGCATTGTTTCTTTTTCCTCCATCATCTCGTTAACAATTTTGCCTTCATTTGTCCAACAAATTTGCGTTTATTTGCCGATCAGCTGTTTTTAGGGTTGAAGTCTACCACACAAGGTAAAATTGATCATGCGCTCTTGCGAGCGTCGCTTGCCTGTGCCTTCCTATATTTGTCTTCAAAATAAGATGCGCTTGCGTGATCTATCGTGTAGCGCGCCCGCGCTCGAGTTCGATGAATGCAGGTTAAAACAAGCGATGTCAAGAATCTGCTTCGGGCTGCGTAGCCAAAATACTTGTGCAGATATGATTGCGGACTAGGATAACATGAAGCTATCAAAGCTTACATCCAATCGTGAATAACGCCGAATTTGACATCTTTTGATGAGTGCCAAGAGATTACTACCGGCCCTGGCAACCTAACATCTTATATGCCATAATGGGGAAACTTGTGACTGTTATTATCTTGGTGTGATGGATGATTAGATAGCATGAATAACGTGATACTACGATTGCTTGCAAAAGCACATCGACAAATCTTTAATCTCAATCTCAGGTAACGCATTCTTAATTGACTAATTGAACCGGCTGATGCATTCTTCCTTACGCTCACTGGATGCACCTTCAGACCGTACGTCCATCGAACAGAAAAAGTATGTTGGACTTCACTTGAACATCGGCCGCCTTGGAAATCAGGTAACATAAGGTCTAGCTTTGCAACAATGTCCCTGACTTTTCATCTTTACATATGGCGCATCTGTTGCTTAGCATTAAGTAAATCAAGACATAAGCTTCACTGCAATCATTGTTCTGCTTAATGACTGCTCTGCATTCAGATTTACAAACGGTTATACATTTGATTAAAATTTAATTCAGCGAGCTATTGACATGCTGATCACGAAAATAGAATTTTGCAAGGTAAAGCGTTTCGTGCCTGAAGTTGACTTACGGTATTTTCTTAGCTTGTTAAAGAGAACAGCTAAGATATTGTGTCCAAGAAGTTGCATTGTCTCACTTTGTAGATTTCCATCACATTTGCATTCCAAGACCTTCGACATTAAATGACACCATGGCAGCATACAGCATTGTATACGATAACTTGTTAAAACCAGATCAATTTCGCTTTCGTTCTTTTGACTGAGCTTGAGAAATTGATTCCAATTTTATCTTATCATCAACTAGCTGACTTACCCGGCTCTGCCGGGCCCTGTCAAAGTCCTATAATAAAGATCCCTGATATAGGTCGATACCTATCATTGTACAACCTTTTGTGCCCACCTTCACGTTGCAATTTTCTATCCCGGTGATTTTCGTAATAAACATGCCCACTTACCTTCCCCTCCCCCCCCCCCCGTGCCAAATACCAGCGCCGTAGCTCAAACCTTGCAAAAAATTGATAAAATCGATAAAGTAAAAGATAAATCCAAAACTAATTTTGTATCGTAATTTGCATGTTTGATTACCCCCCCCCCCCGCTCCAATTCCCAGCCCCGTAGGTCGAACGTGAAAAACGATAAAATCGATAATGTTGGATGTAAAGGATCACCTATCTACTAATATTTGGTGGCGGGAAAAGAAAAAGCCGATTTGACCTTACAGCAGGGTAGAAAAGAGGTGGAAGAAGGGAAGCCAGAGCAGAAGAGGCGCAAAAGAGTTGAAACGAGTTGTTCAGAACAAAGCCAGATTTGCCCTCAAGATTGACCAAGTAGAGCCCAAGTACTGACCGAGACTTACCCTGCTGGAAGGTCAAATCGGAGGATTTCCTCGTAGCCAAGTTATATTTCGTCGTTCTTGTTTATTATTGGCCCAAGAGCCGTGTTTGTTTCTACAATCAAAATGAAGCTGTTTTATCTCTCTGTGTGCTAATCTCTCAGTCATAAGTTGAAACAAATTTATACCACTGGACACTCCCCCTGTTACATGGGGGCCGAACCGTTGCCTTATTTACATGCGGATTGATCGCAGCTAACCTGCCGGCGGAAGCAATCTAGGCTACACGAGAGCCAGATACAAGAGACTAAAAGTTACGAATTGATTGATCACCAGGGTCAAGCAAGGGTGTGGCACCGATCGATGATTACAATCTTCCCCCCCCCTGAATTATTAGGTTGTTCGGAAATTAAGGCCCGTTTCTAATTTGAACCGCAATAAGTCATACACTTCTCAATTCTAAATAGATTGCAAAGTATCATTCGAAAGAGCAAAGCAAGCTCTATAAGAAGGCCATCTTGCTTTTGCGAAAGCTCTCACCCACCTCGAGTTTAGAGCCAAAAGCTAAAAAGACTCAGCAACCCGAAAAATCGAAAAAAATCGTAACTCCGTCCGCAAAAATCCTACAAAAATTCTTACTTGCTCATTCAAACACTATCCACATAAAACATCTATATACGCCTTTGCCGTATTTTTTTCTTTATTGGAATTCAAGAAAACGGAAATTTTCGCGCATTTGCCAAAGTGATGCTGTGCCGTCCCCATAAGTAGTTGTATACCACTAGCCTGTAGAAGTGCAGACTCAAATTTTCAGCTTTCTACAAGCTTTAGTTTTCGAGAAATACCGAATATAGCTTTCCCTAGTTAGGTGGTCCAAGCTAAAATTCAAACTTCTCGAGAACTAAAGCTTGTACAGAATTGAGAATTTACGTTTGTACTTCTACAGGCTTATGGTATACAACTACCTATGTGGGGACGGCACAGCATCACTTTGGCAAATGCACAAAAATTTCCGTTTTCTTGATCTCCAACAAAGAAAAAAATACGGCAACGGCGTATATAGATGCCTTATGTGGATTGTGTTTACGCGAGCAAGTTAGAATATATGTAGGATTTTTATGAACGGAGTTACGGTTTTTTTCGATTTTTCGGGTTGCTGAGTCTTTTTAGTTTTTGACTCGAAACTCGAGGTGGATGAGAGCTGCAAAAGCAAGACGGCCTTCTTATAAAGCTTGCTTTGCTCTATCGAATGATACTTTGCAATCTATTTAGAAATGAGAAGTGTATGACTTATTGCGGTTCAAATTTAAAACGGGCATTAATTTCCGGACAACCTAATATATACCTAAAATAGCATAGATTCAGAATTCAATAGCATCAGATTACCTGAAGGCCCTTTCAAATATAATGGGCAACATATCCATAATGAACATTCAATTAACCCCTGTAGACAAAGTTTGAGCGAATTCTGAAGATTCAAGATACTAAGCTACCTAAGTGAAATGGTCATTTTTCAACATGATTAACTTTGTTTCAAAGGTAGAGTAGAGCTGTTTTTGCACTCAAGACAAAGCACTACTCCTTCTTTGTCCACCTCAGAAACCCCGCTTCAAAAGATCCCCAAACTGTGAAATTAGAGGTCATCCAAAAGCACATTTTTCCCATTTTCCGCTTTTGATGGCTGTGATCACCAACTATTACCCAGAGCAAAGAAAACAAATCGGGCTCAAATCCCTCGTGTGAAAACTAGGAGATCTAGGCTATCGATAAATCTAAACATGGTTTGCTAAAAAAATATTTTTATGACATAATTAATGGGGCGTGGCACAGCCCCTAAAAAGCTGTGGCAGCCGCGAGGGCATTGCAATTGCGCGCGCTTTTAATTAGCAATGAGAACCATGAGGAGAAGCATATCGCTGCCAGTTGAAAAACATGAATAAACCGGAGCAGATATATGGAGATCACAATCAGAAGAAGTACGTAACGAGTCTATTAGGGGAGGAAGACCATATTAAACAAGAATTAAAAGATTTCTTGAGATACTAAACAAGCACGTGAAAAGAAGTAGGATAGCGAATAGGTTTAGAATACCACTTGAAGAAGAAGTGGATGCTAAGATAGCCACAGTATCAGGCAGAGTAGAGAGCCTAGCAGTTGAAGTGAAGGAGATACTCGGTCACACAAGAGCAAAAACAAGAGAGCAAAAGTTGGAGGTGCTAGAAAAGCAACATCGTGTGATTTGCAGCGGACCAGTGTGTACGGGAACGAACCCGACAGGTCATTAGGGACATAGCCAAAAGGGTAAGTTTTCCAGAGATAATGTAGTGCATAGTGAACAAAGCTCGCACCACTGACAGCCACTGTGCCGAGTACGGTCGGTAGGCGGTAGATCTGAGGTTAGGCCTACATCAGGAAGATTATGCAAAGAACAAGCGGTCAGTGACCTCAATGGTATCGAGATTCGGAATGTCAGTCAACACGGACCGCACAACGTCAACAAGGTCCTTCACAGCAGGGTGCTGCACCATGTGCTGCACCCTGCTTTGAAGGACCTTGTTAACGTTTACAGGAGGTTTTCTATTAGTCCAAGGTTATCAAGCCAAACTGAGCTTCTACTTTTCAAATTACTTTGTAGAATTGATTGTGCCGCCGATATTTGTTTAGGAGATATGAGCACAAATCGAACAACAGTTGCAACGAAATGCAACAACGCGGACGACGCCTGCAACGTCGCAACTTTTCTTTGCTTTGATATCAAAGAAAAAACCATAGCTTCGATACTGATGTGTACTATCTACAACATAGATACTTTTGGATACTATTAGAAACTGAGTATTTGTTCCTATTTTTCAGGAAAGCACAGAAGTCCTTCTCAAGTGGCAAAATTCTGAACACCTAAAAGGACGCAAAGTTCTTGTACCTGAGTATACCTGAAGCGGTGAGACTGCAAGGTTTTGAGAGGGTAGTAAAAGAGTTAAGATCGCTGTTAGCATGCGAGTCAACCGCAGCAAGGTTGAAGGCGCTTACAGATTTGAGAAATGTGCGAGTGAGGCCAAATCAAGAATTATCTGAATTCTGCACGGAACTAGAAGACTTAGCCAAGAAAGCAAACCCTCAGTGCAGTAGTGAAGAAAGATCAATGGAGTACGCGCAGACACTTCTCCAAAATCTGACGACGTGGCCGGAGTACGTGCAATTGCTAGGAGCCTTACATCAGGCGGATCTGGCTGATGCGTACATTGGGATCAAGGAGCTGGAATAGTCAGCTCCTTGATCCTAATGTACGCATCAGTCGAGCAGTCGCGGAAGCTTTGCATGTTCGAGAGAAGAGATGCAGAGCGAGCCTTCTACGGCAACAGTAAATATGATCGCAAAAACGGCATGTATTATGGAAAAGAAAGCCGGTGCGTGGGCATAGTAAGAAGGAACCACGAAGTGGAGAGGAGGAAGAATACATGGAAGCCACCGCAAATCAACTACTCTTGTTACAAAGTTCTAACAGATAAAAGAAAGAGATGCTACGGATGTGATCGATGTGGACATTTAACAAAAGACTGCAAGAAAAGAAAGGTTCAGGTGAGAGAACCAAATCCAGACAAGACTAGCTGGCTTACCCGACTCCGCCCAGCTTTGTCAGAAACAATAAAGGTTCCATTCCTATCCCTGTACAGCCTTTTGTGCCCACTTTTACATGCAATTCCCTATTTGTTAGTAATCAGATGCTCACCTACCTCCCTCATCAACCTCAGCCTCGTAGCTCGAACTTTGCAGAAACCCAATAAAACCGATAAAAGAATAATTTTAAAAACTGATGGCCTTATTCGGCTATGCGGGCCTCAAAATGTTTTTGTGACGGATCTTGCTCAAACTCGGTAAATGGGGGTTATTCGAGCCGCTGATGACAAATATCGTAGTCATTTTGCGCCGTAGCGTCATTTTCTAGGTTTAGGTGGGTACACGTAAGAAGCTAAAATCATGTTCGCTGAACT